ATGAGTCTCAGACTTTTTGGCCTTCATAATTATTCCCTGGATGTTTTTGTGTGGTCGAGTATCTGAGTAGGCTGATACCAGTTGCATACCTTGGGCTTGATATGTTTAGAGCCAAACATTAAACTAGAAATAAAAAATAAATTGTGCCAGTTTTGAAAGATTTGCAGATTGCTCTTGTCTCCACTTTTTCACAGTATCCTATAACTGATGAAAAAAAATAACCAAAAAAAGAAGAATATTTAGAGCTTGAATCTAATTAACATGTCTTTTTATTACTAACCTATGAAAAGGAAAATCTCAAAGATTAAATTAAAATGTTAAATACACTCCTTTTTTCCTACCCTCATCTCTGGTGCTCTGTGTCAAATATCAGGGGAAAGTGTCAGCTTCTGAATTGACTGGAAGTCATTATTTTGTTGAGAAATTCTTATGGTTTTTGAGTTAGACATGAGTTCACGTTCTAGATCTGCCCTTTACAAGCTTTGTGAACTAAACTTTTACTCACTAGATTAACTGAGAAATTTTTTTGGTAATCTCTGTTGGGGCCTTAGTGGAATGTTTGATTCACAGAATCATTAATGACTTTTGAGTATAATCAGAGAAAATCTTTATCATCCTCATTTATCACAATTTGCACCTTTATGTTATGATAATCTTCACCACCATCATCCTGTCACTTTCCTGGTTGTCTTTATAGCCATTCCTTGGCCCCTTTTTTAGAGAAAGAGATTTCTTTCTCTCCCAAACTGAATTACTGGGATTCCTGAGGTTTATGTCATATGTACCATTTCCATATTTCACCAAATATTCGTGGAGTATTATCTCTGCACAGACCACAGCTAGAGTACCAGGTTTCACTTGTGCAACAAACAGATATAGTCTCTGATTTCAGATAACTTAGAGGCTAATGGGGAACCTATATAAATAAGTTAGAGATAAAAAACAATGAAGCAAGAGCTTGATAGAGAAGTACCAAAGGTGCCAGGGAACACATAGCATCTCCTAACATAAGGTGGAGTATAAGGGGATATTCTGTAATCTAGGCCTATCCACCCTACCATGGTAGAAACCAGTCAGGCAGAATGCAGGGAACTTCTAGGTAGAGGAAGAGAATGTGAAAGCAGTGAATACAAAAAATTTGGAAGACTTTCAAGAGTTTACTTTCAACTTTTAAGTTGTCTAAAGTAGTCTGCATGTGTGAGGAAAGAATAGAGCAATGAGGATGGACATGGAAGTTGAAGATATATTAGGTACAGGGAGATCATATTAATATTGCCTAATCATAAAATCTTTTTAATAGCCCCCCCCCAACAGGCAGAGATCACTCTGCTATATCCAGTAGTGCTCAGGGGCTATACCATGGGAGAGATTAAATTCAGGTTCTCGTACATGGTAGGCATGTGTTCTTCCACTTCAGCTATCTCCCTAGCCTCCAAGCAGGACATTTTTAAGGGTAGAGATCTGGAATGATAGTACAATGAGTAGGTGCTTTTCTTACACACACTGAACCCAGGTATGATCCCTGGCAACCCATATGATCCCCCAAGTTCCATCGGACATGACCACTGAGAAGTCACACAGCTGGGAATGGCCCCAAAACACACAAAAAGTGAAAACTGGGTTAGGATAATTGTTGGGAACCAAAACATCAAATTAAGATAATTATTTAGTGATTAAAAAAAGGAAGAGGCAGTAATCTTGTTCATTGTAACCAGAGAAGAGGCATCATCATTTTTAGAGTCTGGGATTTTATAAGAAATTACTCATAGAGGCCAGAGCAATAGTACAATGGGTAGAGTGCTTGCCTTGTATGTGGCCAACCCTCATTTGATCCCTGGCACCTCATATGGTCCCCCCAGTATTGCTAGGAGTAATCCTTGAGTGCAGAGCCCAGAATAAGCCCTGAGCACCACAAGTTGTGACCCAAAACCAAAAACCAAATAAGAAAAAAAACCTCTCTGACTACATTGTAGCAAATAAAGTGCGGTGGTGCTGAGGCTAGAGATAATAATTCTGAAATCAGGGAGACCAGATAGACTTTTTCAACCATGGAATTTATACAATGAATTATTAAGTTGGTGAAAACTGGTAGTGGAATGGAGGGAAATGAAAGGAAGTGGATGTATTCAAGAATTTGACTTACATTGTTAATTCAATAATTATATATTGACAATTGTGTAATATACTGACTTTCAACACACTAAGGTCGTTGCCTAAGCAAACATGACATTTATAGTCTAAATAGCAAAAGTAATCAAAATTGTTCACTGGTATAACTCTAGACGAAAGAGAAAGGGGGTAAAGGATGAGATCCAGTTTTCAACTTTAATAAAGTGATGAATGGTGATGGCTTCTTTAACGTAAGAAACTAAAAAAAAGTAGCAAGATTGGGAGAATGGAAAATTTGTTGAGATCATGTTTGAAGTGCTACTGGGATATTGAGTGAAAGTATGTCCAGTGAAGAGATGGATATGATATTTGAAACTTAAAAGAGAATCTGGGTTAGAGAAATGGATCTAGGGGTCATCAATGATTTCTGATATATGAAACATCTGTTCCGGATGAGACTTCTCAGGCAGTTCTAATATATTACATGCTATTAGAATGATCAGAGTACACGTACAAAACACTTTTTCTATGACAACTTTGGAAACATGCCTAATTTTGGCTGTAAACATTATATATTCTTCTTATCTCTGTTTATCATACATGAAAGAATAATGGAAATGATTCTGTTCCTTTGATTAAGGTTCATTCTAGGACAGAATTTGGGGTTGCTATATTCTCTGTTTGAGGAAGTCTTGCAGATGATAATATTGCAAAACAAAGCAAATATTCTATACTTTAAACAATGAAGGCTACTTTTAAAATGTAAGGAAATTTGTTTTAAAGTCATTTACTTTGGAGTTAAAATTAAATTTACTCTCATTATTCTAATAGATCCTTGATTGGTGTTCTAAATTATATTCTCCCACTAATCAAGAAAACATAAAATATCTCATAGTTCCAAATGATTTTCTTGTATTATCTGTAAATGTCTCTCATTATCCGCTTCAACCTCCAAGAGAAAATGCATTTTTGTACCTTTTATACTTTAGATCTGTTTAGATTATTCCTTTGAAATTTTTCTTAACTCTTCATTCTGACTTCATGCTTCATTCTTCATTCTTACTAAATTTTGCATTTGTATGATTTAACTATTTCATATGTATCTTTAAAACAAATTAGCACACAATTATTTATATTACTAACATTTTAACATTTATATCTATAGAAGGTCTTTGAAAACATTTTTACTTTATTGATTTATCATTGCTTTAGTTTTGTGAAATTCTAGGAGTTGAGCTCTACTATATATATATATCCACAATTTAAAAAATATAAAGAGGGTTTAGAGCAATAGTATTGGGGGCAGTGTGCTTGTCTTGCATGAGACTGACCAGAATTTGATCCCCTAGCACCACATACGGTCCCCCAGGCCCAGCAGGAGTGCAGGGAAGAGAAAGAGTGAGTGAGAGAGAGAGAGAGTGAGAGAGCGAGAGAGAGGAGAGAAATCTATGCCAGATATGAGATTTATAAAAAAAATAGTAAGAGAACAACAAATGGACAAAGTCATTGAGACTGAAGATTTCGTCTATAAAATTGAACTTACATGAGGATTGAGGGGTGTCCTTTGGACACAGGTGAGGGAAAGGGGGACTCTCCTGGTGGGAATGGTATTGGAATGATGTATCCATGAAAAATATGATTAATAATATTGCAAATCCCAGTACCGAAGTAAATTTAAAAATGGTTTTTAAAAATATATATTATTTAATCCACAGTGCATGAAACTATGCTTGGAAACTTTGGGTATCATTCATCAAAAATTTATTGAATAAATACATTTTTATTGTATGTCTTTGTGCACTTGTCTATTTATTGAGCATTTGTACCTAGGATCAGAGAATGCACATGTTTTCCTGAAATGTGTTAACTAACATTATTTCCTTCCATCAACCATATTGTCATTGGCATAGATTTCTCTCCTCTCTCTCTCTCTCTCTCTCTCTCTCTCTCTCTCTCTCTCTCACTCTTTCTCTTCCCTGCACTCCTGCTGGGCCTGGGGGACCATATGTGGTGCTAGGAGATCAAATTCTGGTCAGTCTCATGCAAGACAAGCACACTGCCCCCTATACTATTGCTCTAAGCCCTCTTTATATTTTTTAATTGTGGATGTATATAGTAGAGCTCAATTCCTAGAATTTCACAAAACTAAAGCAATGATAAATCAATAATGTCTTTCTTGAAATTCTCTCAGCATCATGCCTTGGTCACAGGTTCTTTCCATTCCTGAAATTTGTGTGTTCCTTAGACTTGATGCATTTGCACTGACCACTCCCTTCTCATCCAACTCTCTTGTCACACCACCCAGTTCTCTTGTCATACCTCCCAACTCTCTTGTCACACCTCCATCTGATTTTGCTCTTTTTCAGAACTCACTTTAAGTGTCATCTTCTTGGTGATTCCTTCTCTGAACAGCAACTGGGAACCAACTTCATAGTCAATCCATATCATCTTATTTTATTTTACTGTGGAAATGTTATAGCACTTCTCACTACCAGATATACTTATTTTATATCTATTTGTCTAATTATCCCTGGGTATAAGCTCCATAGTAACAAGAACTTTGTATCTTTATCAGCATTGCCTCCAGAAAATCTGGCTCAAAAATGGAATAAACATTGAGTACAACCATATTGTCATTTGAAGAACTTTTCTGGGCATCTTTTTAAAGTACAAAAGTCTTTTGTTTAATAGCAATGGCTGAGATGATCTTGAAGTCAAAATATTCAGTTAGCATATTTGTTTTTGTTACTCAATATCAGTTTTTACATTAATGTTAAGTTGCATATTTTCTCATTCTAAAATCATTCTCATTTGTGTCAATATTAATAAGCATAAAGTAGAATTCCTTTTATAAATTGTACTTACTGTTGTTTTCTTTCTTGACTCCACAGCTTTTGGAAAGAACCAACGTTTGTTTTGAAGAATCAGATTCCGGGGCTACGAAGAGTCCACTCCACTTAGCTGTAAGTGAGATGCTTTTAGCAAATTCACCTGTTACCAAAAAAACGAAGTGTTTATACAACTAGACCGCTCTTTAAATAGAAACACAGTTGTGCAGTAATAACAGTAATGAAAACAGCCTGTTAACACTCTTTTTTGCCAGCACAACTTTCAATACCTCACTCACACACTCTCTCACAATAACTACGCATAGTTAGGTCCAGTGAAATGAAACTAAAATATGCATCACTCTCAGCTCTCAGAGATGAACTTAGAATGGAAAAGGTGGACAAATAGTGGATTCATTGTGAGATTAAGGCTTCCTACCAGTTGACTCCTAGTACAAGTTACCCTAAAGGTTGCTCCCTTGAATCTGCTCAACCATCTGCTGTGGTTGGGAAGTTATACCAAAGCTGAAGTTTCACAAACAATATTAGCTACCCCTGGAGATGCCTATTTGAAAGGTTATCTCAGATCTCTCAAGCCCTTTGAAACCGAGGAACATTGCATTGCCAAGCATACTTTTAAGTTGAGATAAGTTTTGTTTTCAAAAATTTTGTAACCCCACTCCCTCATAATTATTTACTTTTTAGTATGTGCCATGGGATTTTCTAAGTTCTATGAGTTTCCAGATAGACAATGTTATAATCTCATTGGAAGGAGTTGGACTTTAACAGTTACTCAATTCACACATAGCAGACCTCAGCAACCTGTCATCTCGCTAACAACTCACCTGTACATGGTTTCCCACTTGTAAATTAAAAGGAGTGACTTATGAAGGATCCCAAAGCCCACTCCACTTTTTTATAGATTTATTGTATGATCTTGACCAAGTACCTAACCCACAATGTGAAGAGAATACTAGTATCTCTCTGAAGATACAACTTTGCCATATCATTCTGTCCAGTGGACGACAGGAATTAATGCATATAAAAGTTTGGATGAGACCTACCACATTGATATAATGAGCTAGGTTCATCTCCACTGTTATAAAATTGATTTTATTATCTCACCTGGCATATATTGACTCTATACTAAGCACTGTTATAGGAGCTCATGATGTATTAAACAAAACCCAGCCTCTGTCCTAGATAGTAGCTAGTTTTGGAGAAACAACAGGCAGGAAACTAAGTAACTCGACTGATGTCTGTAAGTTCTTTAAGTCTCAAAGTGGTCATGAGCTGGAGAGATTGAGGTGAAGAGAAGACACTATTTGGCAATGCAGAAAATCTCACATTTAAACATAGATCTTAAAAGCTGCTCATGTTGATAGCAGACAGGAGAGTCTTCTGGCAGAAGTGCAAGCTCTCTGCATAAGATCCTGGGCAGCATACTCTCAGAACAGCGAGGTAGTCACCCAGCGGAGCAAAGTGGTAAGGGTCGAGTGGTCTACCACGTGGTGGAAGAGGCAGGAGACTTGAGGCGTCCTATAGAACTCAGAGAGCTCTGTAATCAGCTGTAAGAATTGTGACTATCTCTTTGATCCAAATGGGATACTATATGGAAGGTTTATAAGAAATATATGATATAGGAACAGGGATGTAAGTCCCTGGTAGATCACTTGCCTTGTGTATATGAAGCCATGGGTATGATAGGAAGGGAGATAGGGAGGGAGGGAGGAAGGGAGGAAGGGAGGAGGGAGGGAGGGAGGGGAAAATAAATCTAATATTTTGATTCTAAGAGAATCATTTTAGATCTAATTTCAGTTCATTTTTTTCATTCATTCGTTTCTGTTTCTTTGTTTTTGTTTGGTAGGTTTTTTGTTTTAGTTTAGTTTTTGGCCACACTTGCTCAGAGGTTACTCCTGGTTGTACACTCAGGAATTACTCCTAGTGCTGCTTAGGCGACTATATGGGATACTGGGGATCAATACTGGCTAGCCACATGCAAGGCAAGCATCCTACCCACTGTACTGTCAGTTCAGCCCATCTGTGTTTCTGTTTAAATGGTAAGAAAGCCAGACAGAAGCAATGTAACCAAATACCAATGAGAATGATAACTTGGGCTTCAAAGGATTCTAAATTTTAAAAAACAATTTTAGAAAAACATTTAAAACATTATTTGTCTTACCTTACTAAGTGTGGTAATAACACTTTCTCAAAAAACATTAACTGCTTCAAGAATCCCCACAGTAAGCCCAGAATCCTCTCCTGGGATCTCTGGAGCAAATTAACTTAATAAAAGCCCGGGACACATTATTTCTTAGGTGGAAGCATCCTAACAATGAAATAGAGCCAGATGTCCCCAAACCTGGACTGCCATAAGAAACCTGCCCTGCCCTGAGTTACTCTTTCTTGGCTGAATGATTCAACTCTCTAGGGGTATCAGCCGAGTAAATTTCATACGCATTTCATCCACTTAAAAAAATTAAATCAAGAAACAAGACTATACAAATGAAAAGCTCCAGCTGTCGAGATTTCCAGAAGGACCCATTGTTTCATGAGTTCTGTGGAAATCCTCAATCCTCCTCCTTGTTGCCCTCATTTCTTAGCTAAAAATTTCATAAAAATTAATTATCTTTAATAATACATAGATTATATAATGACATTTTAAAAAGAGATTTCATAAAGCAAATTCACCATGTTTAATTGCAACCGCCAATGGAGACTTGAACTATGCTGACTATTGGAAGTTAAAACTTTTATATTCTTTTGGAACCAGAATATTTGTACTTTGGTATGATTGCTTCAGAAATCATTGTGTAATTACCTGCTAAACATCTGGTTAGGGTATGAATAGAAACAAAAATAAAATCATTTTCTTCACTTGCTGCTAACTTGAATAGCTTTCCTGATTACTTGAGACTCCGATTTCAAAGCTTTATTGTCTTTATTTTTTTTTGTATAATCCAAGAATCATGTAAATGCCTAAAGACAAAAATCATGCCTCTAACCACATAAAATAGAATTTTTTTCTTATGATACGATAGTTTATTTCTAGGGTTAAACTCTAAAATGTGTTTCCAGGGTTAACTCTAAAATGTGAAGATTCTTGGATAATAAAGAATTAAACTTTCCTGATTCCCCTTAAATTGCCCTGATGGTTTAGTTTACATAATTGTATATGTCTTGAATTCCACACAGTAATGCCTATGCATATGAAAATCTGAGCACTGCAAGCTAAACTAAAGGAAGAAACAGGATAATTCTATAGGTAAATCTGACCTTTCAACCATTCTGAGGATTTTTAAGTGCCTGGTATAAAAGAAATTAATTTTGAAGCTTTCCTAATTATCAGGAGGGTTCATTTCATTTTATTTTTCATGTTAAGGCTCTTTAACTTTATTACATGTTAATGGGTTAGGTTTCTGTTGTGAAGATTAAAGATGAAGGTAGAATGAAGGTAGAGAAATCTTTTGCACAGGTTAAGCCAATTCCTGGGTTGGAATGTCTATGATGTGATGGCTATTCTAAGCAGTGCTGATTCTCTCCTACCAGCTTCCTTGCTGTGTGCATTTCCCTTTCCCCAGCATCTTCTCTTTATTAAGTCTCAATGTGTTTAGCCACTGTGCTTTGCAGATCTGCATGCAATTTAAAAGTTGCCTGCTCTGTTTCCTTAGGCCAAATCGCAGTGGCAGAAATTAAAATGTTTACTTTATTTGCCTAATGGTCACTGCAAAGAGCATTAGCATCTGCCTTTGTCAACCTGGATCATTTCCCTGGAGTGTGAAGTCCACATTTCTACATAAACTGAATCAGTTACTGCAGGACAATTAAAATGGGTGGCTGTGGTAGGCAAGGTCTGTTTTCAAATAAACAACAGCCTTTTTTCACAGGAGGATGGTGCTCTCAAGTTGACTTAGTATCTCTATGACCTGAGTAAATAATGACTGAAGCTAGCGGATTCCTATATGAGTCTTAAAGATGCTTTTCTTGTTTGGTGCACGTTTGAAATGACTCAAACCAAAAAGTTGAATGAACTCATCTGTTTTGTTATGTTCCTCCCTTTCTGTTGGAGCTGCTGAAAAGCCCGCAGCCAGTCTTTGGGTCTGAATGATTTAACCTTTGAGTCCTACCTCCGCACATAGAGCTGTGTGACTGTGACAGACATGGGCACCATCTCTGCCCTCCATGTTCTTTTCAATAAAATGGAGATAATAATAGAACCCAAAATATTGCTTACTGTGACTTATTGTTACTATGAAGTGCTACTCATTTGTGGAATTTAAAAATAAGACCATGGTATCAGACTCATACCCAACAGAAGAAACAAGGGCCAGTAGAATTGGTCCATAGTTGGAAGCCTGCCTCAAGTGCTGGAGGCAAAGGCAGTTGGGATAAAGAAGGGACCACTATGATAATGATCATTGGAAATGATCACTTGTAATCAAATGATCAGTTTGTAAAAATGAATGTTTGCCAACAATAAGTGGCGTTCTGGAGTTAGGGTGCTCAGCGCAGTGTCTTGAACAAAGAGTTGTTGTTAAATATATGTATACTTCTACCACCATTGCTTATAAATAATAATAAATCATTACATCCATTTATTCATCAAATTATTGTTGAGGTTCTTTTACATGCCAGGCATGATTCTAGAATATTGATATGGAACAGATATCAAGTACTCCTAAATGCTGTGAGGGTTAAATGAAGCAGCGTAAGTGGACTGGATGGAGGTGGAGAGCCACTGTGGGCGCCGGGAAGCTTGCTGAGGTTGTTTAAAACAGAAGTACCAGGAGAGTTATGTGGTTCTCTGGAGAAAAGTTTTCTCTTTCTTTTTAATTTTTAATTATTTTTATGAAGGCTCCATGATTTTTATTCCTAGTTAAGTTTCAAGCTTAAAAGTGCTTCCCCACCAGCCCCACCACCCAGTGCCCACTCCCCTCACCAGTGGCCTCAGAAGCCCTTCCCCATGTCTCCCAGCCTGCCTCCTTGATGGGCACGTTTTAAGTTTGGTGGTTGGAGCCTGGATATTTTCTTACAAGTAACCATTTTATTTATTTAATTTATTTATTTTTTGCTTTTTGAGTCACAGTGGGCGATGCACACGGGTTACTCCTGGATTTGCACTCAGGAATTACTCCTGGCGGTCCTCAGGGGACCATATGGGATGCTGGGAATCGAACCCGGGTCTGCCACGTGCAAGGCAAATGCCCTACCCATGGTGCTATCGCTCCAGCCCCATAAGTAGCCATTTTAAGTTTGCTAAACTTTGGTTCTATTGTTTTGCTCCCCTCAAAACAAAATGATCAGGTGCCCCTGCAGGCTGTCTCTAGCCTCAGCCTGGGTCTGATGGTTCAGTGCAAGTTCTTGGAGCTGCTGCCCCCAGGAATGCCCTACTGCAGCTCTAAGAACTCAAGGGCCTCACTACTTGCAAAGTGTGTGCTCTAGCCCTTCAACTCTCTAGCTCCTGTGTCAAGCATTTTTTTTCCCCAAGTAACTGCATGAATAATAGCTCCGGTTAAATAAATAAGCAAATAAATAATGCAGGAGATTCAGAAAACAGTAAGGGAAAAGCTATTCTTCCCTTCTTCGTCTTACTCCTTTTTCCCCTAGTATTAATCCTTTTTCGTTTTAATGTCTTTTACCTTGTGTGTGCTTAAATTTTTTTAATCTTAAAGACATAATAAAAATTATCTCTCAAGCTTTGAGCTTTGCTTTTGTAGTAGTATGAAATCTTTTAATCCTAAACCCACATTAGGTCTGAAACTGGCAATGGTGTGAAGTAAATTTCCACAATTGTGTCTTTGTTTTCATTACAAGCAACGGAAGAAATAAGGGAGAAAGGAAAAAGCATCAACTGTGTATCAGACATTATGCAAAGCCTATGCAGTTTATCTCTTTTCGTCTTCCTTGGCAGTCAGCTTTTATTGCTTCTCATGATATAGATAGAGAAACTAACTTGAAGTAAACTTAAGAAACTTACTCAGAGTCACATGATTAGAAATTAAAATGTTGAATGGTAAAGACGATATATATATATATATATATATATCTGCAGAATTACAAAGCTCACGATGTTACTCGTAATTTTTCATTTCAGCTTTAATAAAAAAGCATCCTGGAAAAAATCTATTATGCAATCATGTTTAGAACTAAAGCAACAAAAGACTCTGTTAGTTCATTCAGCTCTTATTAGAATATTAATATTTTAATATTTTAAAATGGAAGAATATGATGATACATTTAATGTCTCTGAAGCAAATTATTTGACAAAAGATAAAGAGGGTGAGGAAATGTATATATAACTGTGAGGTTCACACATTATAAAATTGTAGGCTAGCTCTCTGGTTTGCCTGTTTTTAACAATGATCTCATTTAAATGTCTTTCTGATGTGGTTTGTGGCATGACCTCTGTGACCCAGAGGCTTACCTCACCTTGAGCAGTTGTGACATTTGAGGTAAGAGCTCTTGGGTCTGTGGTTCTTCTTTACAGGCCTATAATGGGCATCACCAAGCCTTGGAAGTGCTTCTTCGGTCACTGGTGGACCTGGATATCCGGGATGAGAAAGGCCGCACTGCTCTGGATCTGGCTGCCTTTAAGGGACACACAGAGTGTGTGGAAGCCCTCATCAATCAGGGCGCGTCCATCTTCGTGAAAGACAATGTAACCAACAGAACCCCACTCCATGCCTCAGGTGGGTCTTGTCAAGACTTTGGGATCCCTCGTTTGATGGCCCATGTATATAAAAGGATGACAGCTCCTTTTTCACCCCAATTTTTAAAATAACTAATTTCTTTTTTCATTAGATATAGCTATACTTTGCCAAATCAATTTTGTGGCCTATTCTTAAACATGAGTGTACTTCTCTTGCCATAGAAGCCCTTGTATTCCTTTTTAATCACTTCATTATATTTTTTTAGATCACAGCAAAATCTAGAGGAAGGTACCAAGATTTCCGATGCTCTCCCTGCCCCCTACACACGTATAGCATTTCTCTTTATCAACATTTCTCACCAGAATGGAACATTTATCTAGTTAATGAATCTATATTGCCACATCACAGTCATCCAAAGTGACTCATAGTTAACTTGGTCTTGTGCATTGTATGACTTTGGACAAATGTCACAATGAAATAAGTTCATCATTGTATTGTATAGAACATACTATGGTACTAAAACCTTGCCCTAAAAAATTGTGTGTGCACCGTTTGACCTTAACTCAAAAGAGCATTCAGAACTCTTGTTCAATGAGGAACATAAAACTTACTACCAAAAAGGGCAGGTATGAATATGATTTTTGTCAAGTTGCATGGAACAAAATCACAAAGTGATTTATAACATTTAAAGGAATGAGATTTTAGGGCTAGGTTATAGAAGAAGTCACATAACATTTTGGGAGAGGGTGCAAGGGAGGTTGGGTTACACCTGACAATGTTCAGGGGTTACTCTTGGCTGTGCACTCAGAATCACTCATGGCAGTGCTTGGGAGACTATATAGGATGCCAATGATCGAACGCAGGTTGGTCACATGCAAGGCAAATGCCCTACCCACTGTGCTATCACTCCAGCCCCCAACAACATTCTTATTGGTACACTCTTCCCTAAGTTTAAAGGACTTTGATTCTTGATGCATCAGATATAAAAAAAAAACCTCCAAAATACATGTGTATATCAGAAAGTAATTTATCCTTTCTAGGATTACTCCATTGTACATGAAATAAAACAGTGCCTAGACCCTTCTATACTTCTACACAGATATATAGAAAATACGGAACACTTTTTAGCTCAACTAAGGCATACATTTGCTCGAGCGGGCCCAGTAACGTCTCCATTGGAGACTTTGTTGTTACTGTGTCTGGCATATCGAATACTCTCGGTAGCTTGCCGGGCTCTCCGAGAGGGGCGGAGGAATCGAACTCGGGTCGGCCATGTTGGCCGCTTGTAAGGCGATCACCCTACCCGCTGTGCTATCGCTCCAGCCCATACATACCTTTTAGATGACTAAAGTCAGTGACATCACACTTTGATCAGAGAGAGTCTTATAAGGACAAACAACTCTTTTTTCAGTGAACTAATGGGTGTATTGAGGATTCAAAGAAACAAAGAGTTTTTTCCAAATACTTTATCATTCTCATTACTTGGTGGAAAAATAAACACCAACTTTTGATGTTTTAGCCTTTGTGGAAATATTTCTGTCCATAAATTTTTATTTCCAGACCACTGAAGAAAAAGAGTGTGGATCTTGCGGTGGGGGCGGGAAGCATGATTGTTATCTAATTATTTGAAAATGCTTGTTCCTAGAAAATAATTCTTGTCATGAGGTTCACAGTTGTTTATCGGCTTAAATGATGGATTCTTATTTCCCATCTGTTGGTCTTTTTACTATTCTTGGCATTATTATGAAGTTTAAATTTAGTTCTTTTTTTTAAAAGATCAGTTGCCTATTATTAAGGAAAGCATCCTGCTTTAGTTGCCATACACTTCCTGACAATTACAATAGCCTGCTTTGATTATGGAAAATCACCCTGTGAATAGGTAAACAATGAAAAATAATCATTGTCACTCATTCCCTACTATGACGTAGGCTGCAGTCCAACAGAGCCCCCTGGTGGTCAGTTAGATTTCCTTTTTTTGGATTTCCCTCATGTCATTCATTAAAAAAGACACAGGCTGTCATTTGACTCCATACTCCACAAAATGTCTGCTGTGCAGAAGCTTTAGCCTGTGCTTTGATAATCTGCTTTTCCAGAATCTTTTCCAGCTCATTTGAAAGGCCAATTTTTGTGGATTCCCCTGTGATTACTTTGAGGAGCAAGGCCAGGATGAATATTTGATGTTTGGGCACAACAAATAGTTGCAATGACTGTCATGGTCTTTGCGCAACTTAGAAAATGGGCCAGCGAGAGGCTGAGCTAAGTCTGGACTTGACAAAGCTGGACTTAACACAGAGCTTGACCTTAAGGAGTTGTTAGCATCCTTTTTGCTAGAAGGCAATCAGTAGGATCTATAAATGTAGCAATCAGGAAGCCAACAGGAATTCTAGTTTGGTTATAAGAATTAACCAAACTAGATCATGCAGGGGGATAGAATATTTACATGAGTTCTTTTGCCTAACTTAAGGAAGTTACTGTAGCCCTCCGCCTTTTGTACATACACAAAGTCTGTTTATGAAACAGGTGGCATATTCTTCGGCGCTGTAGATAAAAGTGATATATACTTAGGTCATTTCTTTTTCATTTTTTGCTTTTGCCCAAAATCAAAATTGTTAGAACTATTTTCATTAAAGTATCTAAAAAATAACAAACCAAGGACTACAGAGATATTATTGCAGGTAAGGCACTTGCCTTACATGCAGCCAATGCAAGTTCAATACTCAGGCACATATTTTGTCCCCTGAGCACAGTGTCAGGAGCAAACCTTGAGCACTGCTGAGTGTGGTTCTAAACAACAAAAACAACAAAATACTACCAAGTCAATACAGAAAACTGAACCAATTAAAATAAGCTGTTGCTCCTCTTTCAGGAATCCATTGCCTATATTTCTTAACTGTTGGTCTTTTAATCATCTTCTTTAATATATTCTACTTCTTGAATGTTCCACTGGTGGTAACAGATTTAGTATTGTTTTCTTAAACAAAACACACACACAATATTATATTGTCTATACACCAGTTCACAAAATTTTCTCCTGAGATACATAAATGGAATGTTACTGATAATGAGCTGAATACATGGTCTACAAAATGTGGTCATTATTCCTATAGTTAATTTGAATAGTGTTGATGAATGTGAGCTAATTCTGGTATGTGACTCCCTGAAAAATGTGTTCTTGTTAAATTAGTATTCTCTTGTGACTGGTGCGCAACAAAAAGAACTGTAAAACACAGTTCTTAGAAGAGCCTTTATCATCCTAACAGAGCTGCACTTATTCCCATCTCTCTCCTCTTCCATAACGAGGCAAATGCAATGTATTTTATGGTGCTGTCATTGTTCAGAGAGGAGAGAAAGTCACATTGGAATTTTATACACATTTGTTCTCATTTTACTCCCTGAGTGGAAAGCCATGTATATTGGAAGACTCCGGGTTCCATTGACTAAGTAAAAGAAAGAACCTTACCATGGGGATTAGCCTCCAGTAGATTTTCTTTCCAGCCTCCTTGGTACCAGCACCTAAAAGAAGCACTTTGCCTGGTACACTTAACAGCATATATGTGTATTCCCATCCCAGCCTGACCAGCTAACACAGCCTTGAGGCCACATTGCCAGCCCAATGTGGTCTGCTGGGAGAGGAAATTGTGTGTGGGGGTTGGGGAGTGGCAGGCAGTGACTGGAGATGGGTGAAGAAGGCGACTACAGAAGGACAGAGACTTGACTTTGAAGACACAGGAAAGACTGTGGTTTGAGGGATTCAGGGACCAATGTGTTCTCTGGCCATGGGGGGCTCCAGTTTAAATTTTTTTCTTAACATTTTTGTGTATTTTGTTGGCAAATTTGCTGTTCTGAAGGATATATAAGCATAGTGCTGAAGTGCTGGCCAGTGGTACTGAAGTAGAAGGAAGGTGTATTGAGTTTGGGAAGAAAGTACACTGCATCTGAGATATATCTCTGTCTAGTGTGCTGTTGGCCATGAATTTAATGTTAATATGTGGGCAACATAAGTCAAATATGTTTCTTTTTTAATAGAAGCATATATGTGGTAAGGTTATGCATTGACTAGTTGATGAAAATGTGAGCAGAGGCTTATACGACCCTATCTCCCCTAGAATAATTTTTCAGTGCTGCTTGATTAAGTGGTCACTCCTGGTGACTTAATAGAACATAATGGACAGCAATGACTGCTCAGAGGAAGCTTCTGATTTACACTGCTCATTGACTTTGATGTCAGGATGCGGGGAAGAGAATCAGGGCTCAACAGGGACATTTAAGACTGAAAGCACAAACTATTCATTGTTATTGAGTGGTACTAATTGTGGGTGTTTGTTATTTATAATTGCTTCATTTTCCAAAAAGGTAAGAATATATTGAAGGACTTAGTCTAGGAAAAATGCCAGTCAATAAGCAGTGAGCCATGGCTCGTGTCATCTTTCAGGCTTAAGAGTTTGCTTTAAGCCACCTGGAATCTTTCAGAACCATTGCTCCAAGATGTCCTCCACAGGAAAAATGAAAAATCTGAGGAGGGCATGGCCTGTTTCCATCTGGTCTCTTTCCTCTTCCTTCCCCTCTCCTCCCATTTTATTCTTGTGTCCCTTTTGTCCCTTTTTCCCTCCAACTCCTGTTGTTTCCTTTTTTTTATAAAGGATTAGAGGTGGACAGGCTGGACAGAGGATAATAATACTGAATAAGGACTCTCTTAAGTTTCTTTTTTTTAAATTTTATTTACAAGAAGAAAAATTAGAAAGTGGGGAGAATAATCAGCCTCATACATGGAAATAAGAAAGGGTATTGTGTTGAAGAACCAGAGGGAAACATAGAGGAACCAAGGAAAGAAGGTGAGGACCGAAGTGCCCTGGAGAAGAAAGTGGAAGATAGATTAAGAGCATAACCATTCGCATCTCAAAAGCCCATTACAGACATCAACTAGAAACCAGGGGTGACAGTCAGCAGCGATTGAAAACCATTGAAATCCAAATACATTTTCTTTTGGATAGATTTTGAATAGTGTTGATCCACTATTTTCTTTTTCAGTAATGAATGGTCACACACTGTGCTTGAGACTGTTACTAGAAATTGCAGACAACCCAGAAGCAGTTGATGTGAAAGACGCCAAAGGACAGTAAGTGTTCCCTCACCTGGCCTAGGCTTGGTAGTTAAGTCACAACAACAGTTGGCTAATTGAAACAGGTAATTGGTTAATTTGTTAAACAGCTGCAAAGACTGACTGCTGAATTCAAGGTCCATGGCACATATTGGGTAAAATTTCTACATGAGACCCCAGAAACAACGAGGTGGCTTTGTACTTTGTACAAGGTGTGGAGGTGGGTTTCTTAGATAAAAGGAGCCAATTTTTGTTTAAGTTTTTTTATATTTTGTTTGGGGGGGTCACACCACACCAGCAATTCTCAAGGCTTACTTCTGGTTCTGTTCTTAGGGATCACTCCTGGCAAGCTCAGGGGACCATATGGGATGTAGGGGATTGAACTTGGGTCAACTGTGTGCGAGGCAAGCACCTTACCTGCTGTACTCTGGCCCCAAAAAGGAGCCCATTTTTGTTATATATTCAGGCCCTTAAAAACATGTCTTCCTTGTTTTTTCAATCTATGTGTACCTTTCTGAAGCCTTGAATTCCCATTTTTAATTCAATGCCAATAGGGTGCACCTCAAGAAATCATCTAGCCTCCTTCATGTGTTTTTCCTTCTTTAATTAGTTTTTGAAAGCATTTTCTATTGATCCATTTTTTTCACCCAGTGTCTTCTTACATGGGAAGGGGAGAGCAGTTTTCCCCAGGTAGAAGATTCTGTATGAAACCTTACCTTCTAGTCCCCAGTTCTCTGTTCTTTTCTCTAGACTTCTCAGATTTTTCTTTAAGGCAATAAAGCTTAATTTAAAAGAAATCTTGAACAGAACCTAACTCCTCCCCCTGCCAACCGACCCTCACCAAATAAAAACTATGAATATAGAGTCGCTCTGATAAAATCTGGAGGCCTTTATACACAATTTCTCCCTGTCCAATTACTATTTGGTAAATGCTTCATAGTTGTAAAAATGAAAGAATTTGCAAGAACATCTTAAGGGAGAAACTTACCCTTCCCCTGTGGATATTGATCGTTCCACTGACATCATTCCACATGGTCATTAGAGACCAGATGGCTGGCTCCATGTAGCATATAACAAACTGGGGACACTCCAGAAGTGTAAGCAACGTTTAGAGGAGAGGTTAAAACACAAAACGACAAAGAGAAAGAGGCCCTCCAGGAAAAATGAATATTTTTTAAAACTTAAAAATGACTGATTTCCTTCCCTAGAACCCCGCTGATGCTGGCTGTAGCTTATGGACACATCGACGCTGTTTCGTTGTTACTTGAAAAGGAAGCAAATGTTGATGCAGTTGACATCATGGGCTGCACAGCCTTACACAGGGGGGTAGGTACATATTGCCTCAGCATTCATCAAGAAATTCTCTTATGAACTTATTTCCTTCCCCCTGCCACCACATGTGTTTCTAGTAAAAGCGGTTGCAAGATAACCTATTTAACCCCATCCATCAGGAAGAAATTCCAATATCTTTTTCAAAGATAAAATAGTTACAGATTCTCTCAGGTCCTATTCTTGAGATTTCAGGTGTGATAATAGATACATGAACACAACTACAATGAAATTGCTTTTGCTCTCTGGTTTCAAAATACACGAGCAATCTAGAAAATTGGCAAACTATTTCTTAAAGCATAGAGAAGAAAATCACAATGGCCAGTGTTGCTGGTTCCTGAAGATAGCTATTTTTGCTATTTAGAATCTCATGCATGTATAGATTTGTTTTAAATTAAACAAGAAAACGCAGTGTGCCTCTTGGAAATTGCTTTATTTCTTTAGGGTTTGGACATTTCTCCCTGCCATTATTTTCCTGTCCCATCATTTTCAGTCTCCTACTGTGTATGGATGTCATAATTTTTTCTAATGATTGCCTGCTTTTGAATAGTCATGCTCTTTCTGATTGCTGCAATTATTGATGGTCCATTCCTTCCCTCAGATGTGTATGCTACTGAGTTAAGTATACTGTGGGAAATTCTTCATCTATAGCTGCTGTATTGTTTTTAAAGCATGGCAGAATAAATGAAACAAAAGCAGAAATGATAAAATTGTTATTGAGGGGTGACCATAATAAAGACAAAGAAGAGGAATTCTTAGTGGGTAATGTCAAAAAGATAGTCCATTTTTTCTTAAGTGCCTCCTGTTTTCTGTGCATCAGGCAGAATCCCTTCTATATCTCTTTAGTTCTCATGGCAACCTAAATGGTCACTGTTACCATTTCCTTTTTTAATGGATAAAGTTGGGCACAAAGATGCAAATAATAGACTGTCCAAATTTCACAAGCTGGATTCCAGACTTAACTTAGATCTCCCTGATTCTAAAAATGATATTTTGGCACCATATCAGGCTATCGTTCATGGTTATGTTTTGGGGAAGTAAGAAGTGATTCCAAAATGCCCTTGCTCACACAGACTTTTCCCAACCTCTCTCCTTGGAAATACACAGTCAGCTTGCCCGGATGCCCATATCCGCTTAACTCTGTGCCTAGCCTTGTTTAGCTAAGTGTTTTGGCCTCCTGGATTTTCTGCCCTTCTGAGATTTGTTTTGTGATTTTATTGGCAATGCATCAGATTATGACGGGGCATGAAGAATGTGTACAAATGCTGCTGGAACAAGAAGTGTCCATTCTCTGTAAAGATTCCAGAGGGAGGACCCCCCTGCACTATGCAGCTGCCCGTGGCCATGCCACGTGGCTAAGTGAGCTGCTCCAGATGGCACTGTCTGAGGAGGACTGTTCTTTCAAAGATAACCAAGGCTACACCCCACTGCACTGGGCTTGTTACAATGGTGAGTTGATTGTCATTTGACTGATTTGTAGACTTCCTACTTCATATCGACTACTTCATATCCCAGTCGAGTTAAGAACATAGCAGAGTTCGAAAAGTTCATGGTAGCTGATCTTTCTGCATCCAAGATAACATTTCTTTTTTAACAGAATATTTTCCCCTTCTTAGCTACCATGATGCCTAAGGAATAAAAGTTCACTTTTCCCATTTTGGTTCATCAGTAATATATAACTCATAATTAAGTTTCTGATTACTGAAATAAAAGTTTGAATAAGGGTTTATGAGCTATATGAGATAACCAGGTTTCACATACCTGGAATGAGAATAATAATTTTTTTTAATGTGATAACCTCTCACTTTTGACTATGAGCAGATACATGATTTATCTTTTTGTAATTTTTATTTTCTCCTATTTCATTTATTTTGTTGCACTCAGTGTAATTTATTTCACCTATTTAAATACAAGGCAGAATCTCCTTGATTTTTAAACAGGTGATACAGGTGATTAAAATACAAAATAAAGATGTTCTAATTGTAATATTTCAAAAATGCTGATTTATCTAAAGTAAAATAGAATCTTTATAAACTTACTTTCTTATATAATGTCACATGTATCCTTGATGATTTTTTATCCTTGAGACTATAAATACAAATGTATGCATCAAAAATTTTAACTAGAAATTATGTACCAATAATCCTATACTTAATTTTTGTAATTGATTACTTAAAAATTTATTCTAGTTATCCTAATAAGAAAATATGTTGAGCTTTTAAATATTTGTTTATGACTTCATAGCAGAAAGACATAGAACCATGTGCACACAAGCAATTATTATTTATTCAGCAAAATCTTTGTTAATGAATATTCAGAGTATCCTTTTGTTCTATTTATAAACATTGCTGCTGTATATGCATTCATGTTATGCTATCTTAAATTCTGTCAGATGTTTCCAGAAGTAAAATTATTGAGTAGAGGACTTGTATATTTTTTCTTTTAGTAAGGTAAAGGTAAAAAGGTAAAGGCCCTCCCGTTGATCGTCGATTTGCTCGAGCGGGCCCAGTAACGTCTCCATTGGAGACTTTGTTGTTACTGTGTCTGGCATATCGAATACTCTCGGTAGCTTGCCGGGCTCTCCGAGAGGGGCGGAGGAATCGAACTCGGGTCGGCCATGTTGGCCGCGTGTAAGGCGAACGCCCTACCCGCTGTGCTATCGCTCATACCATATTACTTTGAATGCAGAAAAGAAACCATAATGTATAAGCCCACCATACATGTATATAAAAATTGTTATTTTATAAAACTTTGCCTGAGCTGTCCAAGATGATAAAAATCCTTTTTATTTTTGTCATTTTAAAAAGCAAAGAAAGACTGTCTTATTTTCATTTGTTTCTTTTTCTAATATCTTTGTACAAGTATTTGTGTAATTTCCTGAAAATTGCTTTTTCTATCTGTTGCTTTTTTTTTTATTGAGTTGTCTTTTTTATATGTTTAGGAGCACCTTGTCTTAGCGATGTGTATCATTTCTGTGTTAGTTATATTGAAAATGTTTTCTCTTAATATGCCATTTGTCCTTGTTCCTTTTTAATGGAACTTTCATGGCCTTTCCCCAGAGCAGATATTTTGAACTTCCAGGTAGTTGACTATTGTCATAATTTTTTTTCATGATATAGAGGTTTCCAGTCTTGTTTGAGAAATTCTCCTAATACTAAGCTTATAAAAACATTTCCCTTACTTTGTTTCAATCTTTTATTTTATTTCTTTTAAAAAAATTCCCTCCTATTTTCTTTTTCTTTCTCTTTATCTTTTATTTTTATAAAGTGTTCACAATATTTGATTACATTTAATATTCAAACACCAATCCCACCACCATTACACCTTCCTATCACCATTTTTTATCTATATGTTTATTTATTTATTTATTTTGCTTTTGGGGTCACACCCGACAACGCTTAGGGATTACTTCTGGCTCTGCACTCAGGAATGTCTCCTGGTGGTGCTCAGGGGACCATATGGGATGCTGAGAATCTAATCTGGGTTGCCCGCGTGCAAGGCAAACGCCCTACCCACTGTGCTTTCTCTCCAGCCCCTCCATCACTATATTTTGAATGTTTCTGTCCCGAGCCCCAACCTTGTCCCCAAGGCAGAACCACAATAGTTTATTTTATATTGCTTGTTATGAATATATGCTAAAAATGATACCAAAAAAGGTTTCTTAGAGGAAAGCCTCCTGTTTTCAATTCTTAAAATAAAATTTTTACTCAGAATGATTAAGTCCAGAAATTTCTTTTGTATACTGAATTACATTAATTCAATATCTTATATTCGATTTTCATTATATTTGATTTGTTGTTGTTCAGTTGGTCTTCATTTAAGACAGTCTTCCTGGCATTGGAGCATCTTTTAAAACCTACCAGATGAGGGCGCGCTAACCCCCATCTGGGTCAAGCTCTGGAAATGGGAAAAAAATTCAGGAAATGCTGATTATAATGGCAGAGGCAAATGTGCACAGACTTCAACCTCTCTCCACACTCTGATCCTGTGAGTTGGAGAGTGATAGTCTCACAACTCTAAATAACACACTTTCAGTGCATTCATCCAGGCCTGAGTTTCAGGCTCCTGTTCTCCCCAAATGTACTTCCCTTCCCTGGATGCTTTGAGATAATAATAGAAGTTCAAGATCCCCGTCTTATATACACACACCTTTAAATGGATTTATTCACTTGAGGGATGGAATGAATAGGAACAGTACTAATTGATTTGTCCTAAGTTAGGTCCTTTGAAGAATTCATGAGAGAGAGGTAGAAATACCTGGTATTTCTATTTAAGTGAGAGTTGGGTAAAGTTTTATATATACATATGTGTATATGTACATATATGTGTATATATATGTCTTGAGTATAGTTAGAGGATTTTTTAAATTTTATTTATTTTAATTTGTTATTTAGTCACCATGAAATTACAGACTTATTCATGATTGGATTTCAACACCAATCCCTTCACCAGTATCCAATCCCTTCTCCAGTGTCCACTTCCCTGCACCAAAACCAGCCCCCCCCCTCCACATTTGCTTCCCACGCATCAGTCTACTTTTACAAGAGGTGCTTTTGTTTTAAAAAAATGTTTTTGCATGTGATTTACAATACTGTTGCTGATAGGGTTTCATCCATAACACTTTACCATCTTTCAGCACCACCTCTTTAAAGGATATTTTAAAATGTATGACTTCATATACTTTTATGGGGAGTGGGAGTCTTCCATGTTTGTTCAACAGTGTGGGGGGATCACTCCAGTGATCCTTGGTCAGTGGGGCCAATGGTTCAGTGCTGGGTCCGAGGATGCAGGGCCGCTGCAAGCTGGAGTCAGTGCTCCAGCTAGCGACGCTCAGTGCTCCAGAGGCCATGTAGTTCTGGGGACTGTACCTAAGCCTGGGCTCTAACTGTAATGCCTCCTGGTCCTCCTGTGCTTCTGCGTCTTCCTAAAAGTAGTCTTACCTTTTTCCTCTGTGGCAGTACAACATTCATATTTTACTATTCTAAACTGTCTGACTGTATCTGAGGTTATATCATACATGATTCTGAGAGTAAATCCTACAGGGACTCTAAACACTAAGCGTTGGGGTTTGAGTTTAACCCCAAAGAGGTCATCTGGCCCACACTTTATTTCAAAGTCAAATAGCTTATTTTTTTTTAATTTTTCTTAAAAACTTTTTTATTGAATCACTGTGAGACAGACCATTATAAAGCTGTTCATGATTGGATTTCAGTCATACAGTATTCCAACACCATCCCTCCACCAGTGTACATTTCCCAGCACCAGTGTCCCCAGGTTCCCTCCCATCAACCCCCACCCCCTGCCTGCCTCTATGGCAGGTGCTCTCTCTCTCTCTTTTTACTTTATAAAAAAATTTTATTGAATCACCATGAGATAGTTACAAGCTTTCATGTTTGGGGTTACAGTCACACAATGATCAAACACCCATCCCTCTACCAGTGCACATTCCCCACCACCAATATCCCCGGTATACTCCCATCCATCCCACTCTCCCCCTGCCTCCATGGCAGACAATTTCTATACTCTCTCTCTACTTTTGGGCATTATGGTTTGCAATACAGACACTGAGAGGTTATCATGTTTTGTCCTTTATCTACTTTCAGCACACATCTCCGATCCCAACTGGTTCCTCAAGCCATCATTTTCTTAGTGATCTCTTCTCTATTACACCTGCCTTCTCCCCTTTGCTCGTGTCTCTCTCCTTTTTCAAAGCCAAATAGCTTTACCCTTTTGCCTTCACAATTGTAAGCGTGGCTTCACAGATTGCATTTAGATCTTTTTTTTTCCCCATTTTTGAGTCACACCCAGTGATGCACAGGGTTACTCCTGGCTCTGCACTCAGGAATTGCCCCTGGCAGTGCTCAGGGGACCATATGGGATGCTGGGAATCGAACCTGGCTGGGTCAGTCGCATGCAAGGCAAACATCCTACCCACTGTGCTATTACTATTGCTCCAGCCCCATTATTTAGATCTTTTTTTAAAGAAAGCTGTGATGTAGGTGAAGCAGGTATTTATACACTATTTGGTTTATATTTGGTAAATGGAGACTTGTGGATCCCAGATCAATTGAGCAGTATTCCATAACAAGTCAGCAGGTAGAGCCGGGGCCTTACTTAACTTAAAATCAGTTGATTTAGAAGCTACTGCCATTTTGTTGAAAATAGTTTCTTGGCATTCATTCCTCCTGGGTGTGTAGTAGTTGCCAAGAACTGTCATTGGTGCCATTTTAAACATTTATGTAGTATTGTGCGGTAAGGGAAGTTTCCTACTATAAATATAAAATGAGACTCACTTATTAGGCACCTGTCTACCCAGAGTGGAGAGTTACAGAATCTGTTTTGCTTGCAAGTGGGGTCCCTTCTCATCCTTTCTGCGAGACCATATGATCTCATAGTGCATGAGGACACCATTAATATTTGGACGTTTTATGAAATTTATATCATTAAGAATGAGTACTCAGTGAGAACAAAGGGGAATGCCCTGCCACAGAGGCAGGGTGGGATGAGGGGGGATGGGGAGGTGGGAGGGATACTGGGATCAGTGGTGGTGGAGAATGGGCACTGGTAGAGGGATGGGTATTCAATCATTGTATAACTGAAACCCAAGCACAAAAATTTGTAAATCCACAACTGTACCTAATGGTGTTTCACTAATAAAAATCTAAAACACACACACACACACACACACACACACACACGAAGGAGAGAGAGAACAAAAGGGAATGCCCTGCCACAGAGGCAGGATGGGATGGGGGTATGGGAGGGGTGGGAGGGTTACTGGGATCATTGGTGGTGAAGAATGGGCACTGGTGGAGGGATGGGTACTGGATCATTGTATGACTGAAACCCAAGAACAAAAACTTGTATGGTCAACAACTGTACCACATGGTGTTTCACTAATAAAAAAATATTTAAAAAAGAATTAGTACTCATTGATTGAGGGAAGTCCATAAGCTAGAAATCTATACATGATGAAAAACAATAGGTTGTGTTACGCAAAATTTCTTTTTTGAGTGCTTCCTAAATTCTTTTGATTCCTTACAGGTAATGAAAACTGCATAGAGGTACTTTTGGAGCAAAAATGTTTTCGCAAATTTGTTGGTAATCCCTTTACTCCACTGCACTGTGCAATGTAAGTAGAACTGCTAGGAGTTAATGGTGTTGCTTTAATTCTTTTAACTACACAATGCAATAGCCATGTAGAGAAAGAAAGCTTTTAAACTACAAATACAGCTAATATATTCTCTTTTTTTCTGTTAAGAGCAAGTAAGTCTGATAGCAAAGTGTGACTGTTAATAATGATTTTCCAGAAGTTTTGCGTGGAGTTTCATAGCTTGGGGTGGGCGGGCCTTAGTTACCATATTAGGAGATAGAAGGACTAGAATAGAGGCATTTTACAGCCACATGAGAGTTCTTTGGATGTACCTTAAATTTGTTTGTCAGATTGTAAACATAAATGCAGCTAAAAATAATATATGACAATATATGATTTAAAAGACATTTTATACTACAAAGACTATTCATGTAGTTATTCTCTTTTATTTATACTGCAAAGACTAGTCATGTATTGTTATTCTCTCTTCTTTTTGTGATGGAAGCTGTTTTATTTATTTGAGGGGAATGAATGTAAGTTTTGTTCCAGTCTCATAGTGTGCGCTGTTGTTAAGAGAATACTGTGACCTTAAGTCAGACCCTGTGGTCAGCGTAGATGTCCTGGACCCAAGAATTAGGAATGCTTTCTTTGTCTTTGCATTATCCTTAGTTATTCATTAAGCTGAGCCATTTTACTAGAAAGATATTTGGTATTAGTGGTCAGTAAAGAAGGAGAAAGAAGTCAAGAATAGGAATGATTTTAAAGCTAAAGGAAAAATGTTTTTACTTTGATATTTTCAAAATACTCAACATGATGCCTTATACTTATGAAAAGCAGTAAATGCCTTTCTGAATAGAGGGGTTCAAAAGAAATACTGAAAGTTCAGAATGTTTGTCATTGGACTTTCTAAATCATTTAAAAGGGTAAATTTAGGTAATACAAAGATTTTTATTTCATGTTTCGTGAGAAAGGTAGTCTGTACTCTCAAGGATTCAGAGAATTGCAGTGTGCACCAGAAGGCTGGAACTTTTTACAGGATGAATAATAGAGTGCAAGGAAGAGAAGAAATAAAAATACTTGCTAGGCAAGAGTGCATATTTGGCCATCTTTACAGTATGATGGGAATGAGGAATCACCCATGTAACTTGGTAACTATGTATTGTTTACCACCATGGTCTGACTTCTGGGTAGATGGATTGTTGTACAAGAACATAAAACCTAGAAGTTTAGTTTTATTTTGCTGCCATGTAATGACTCACCTGGTCTGCCGAGGAATTATTATGGGGAGATCAGCATGACAGTTCCCCTCTTTTGATCATCCTCTGGACAAGTAAGAGGTTTGATTAAGGGTGGTGCCATAAGTTACTCTCAACCCGAGCCTTCGTGTGTATATTTTCAGCTGTGGTTTATCACTTCTGTCAGAGAAAGACCATTTGTTAACTGACTGATGACTGCATAGCTACATTTAAAGTCCTTGAGAGGATGTAGTAGATCAGGGAGATAATTATTAATAGTGAAAGTATCTCTAAGGTTTTCAGGGCACTCTGAACCCAGTTTCCTTGGAACCAAATTGAGTAAATTTAAAAGTAATTCTGAAGATGGAGAGCATAGCAAGTCCGTTTGCCTTGCACATGGCTGATCCTCATTTGATCCCTGGCACCCCATATGGTTCCCTGAGCACCACCAGGAGTAAGCCGTATGCACAGCCAGATGTTGCCCAATTGCCCACCTCCCAAATTCTGAATCAGGGGATATTTCTTTAAGTTAGTTGACCTATGTACATATTTTAAGTCCATTTCTGCTTCCCCTGAAGTTTTTATACAGTTGTATAATCTTTTGTTTTAGGTACTCTTTATGCCATTAATTTTTCATTAATCCTTTGCATTGAAGCTATGTTGCAATCTTGAAACTGTTTGAAGCCCTCTGCTGCTAATTAAAATAAGTAACCTATTCTGTTAATTTGATAACTCCTGTTTCAAGTATATTTCATACACAAATAGCCTTTTCTCATTGAATCATTCCCCAGAATGGACATAACGTAGTGTTGTCCTAGTAAGATTTTGTTATTTTTATTGAGATGTGCAGTGTTTAGAACAACGTTCCTTACTATGCAAATAAGCAGTTTTGACAGAAAGAGGATTATCCCATTCTTTGAAACTAGAGGATCTTATATCTTTAGTGAAACCCTGAGTCTCCTGGAGACAAATTCATACTCAACAAAAACACACCACAGTCTAATTTTCTTGTTTTTATTGCTCCAAGCCCCAAGTTGTTGTAGACTTATGTCAAATAATGCTATAATCTTAAGTCAAAAATTCCTGTAGTCTTTTAGTTACTATGAACTGCTTTGCACTCCCAATATAACTGTCCCAGAACCTTTCTGGAAGCTCAGAATATTTCTGAGAACTTTAATAGACTCTTTTCTTTAAAAAATGTTTGGATAAAATTGGTTTAGACCAGAGAGCTATAGCTCAAGCATGAATGAGACTTACAATCACCCCTTGCTAATGATGAAACAGTGAAATCTGTGGATTCAGTAGGCACTTAATCTGCACATCTAATTCTTCACAGCATTAGAAGTCAGTTTCAGTTCCCATTCTGGCTTCATGAATTCTCAGAACTCTTGAACAGAGACTGCCTAATAAAGCTTAATAAAGTTGGGGGCTGAGGATGTGGCTCAGTGGTAGAGCACTTGCCCTGTGTATATGAAGCCAGTTCTGTTTCCATACACACACGCACACACTCAGAGTGCTAAATAAGACCTGTGTCATCAAAATTGTCTTCTTTAATCATTTTAACAAAACATAGACCACAGATATTTGCACTAGATTTTTTCTTAGAGTATTTCCAAGTATTATACAGAGCATAGGAAAATGGCAAAGAAGGGAACATATAACTTTTTAAAGAGCAAGAATTAAAAAATGTTTAATTCACTTTTATTTTAGAATAAATGATCATGAGAATTGTGCATCAATGCTACTTGGGGCCATAGATTCCAGTATTGTAAATTGTAGAGATGATAAAGGCAGGTAAGTATCCTAACATGGCACATCTCCCTCCTTTCTTAATGAATCCGAGTCTGAGCTTTGTGGTTGCAGAATATTCAAACATATTTTTATTTTAAAAATTTATATAAATTTTTAATATTAAATAGAATAAAGTTATGTTATACAAAAAAATGTTTTACTTTGCCCTGAAGTCTCAAATTCTTCTATTGTGAAAATTTTAAACTGTTCTTTCCAAATTTTAATATTCTCAAATATTTTCTATACACAGCTCTAAATACATATGCAAATGTATATGCATGTGTTACTTTTATGAAGATGAGAGTATTCTATAGCAGTGTTCTACTTTTGTTGTATCTTGGAGATCTTTACATACCAGAATATGTAGATTTACCATATTTTAAAAACTTGCTTAGAAACTATACTTTCAGGGCTCATTTCTATAGTTTGTTAAACACTTGTTTATAGTATTTTGATATTTCTAAGAGTTGTGCAGTGAATGGTCTAGTACCTGTATGTATTCATATAACTAATAATTCTAGGAGATAGAGCTCTAGAAGTGAAATAACTTAATTAAAAGATCTATGGTTCTGAATTTTGATAACCAGTGCTAAATTATCCTACCAAAGAAATTAACTACCTGCATTGGATGATGTGAGTTTTGAAAAACATTACTTATTTAAAAATTTTAATGCAAGGGCTGGAGCAATAGCACAGCGGGTAGAGCGTTTGCCTTGCACAATGCTAACCTAGGTTCGATTCCCAGCCTCCCATATGGTCCCCTGAGCACAGGCAGGAGTGATTCCTGAGTGCAGAGCCAGGAGTAACCCCTGTGCATCGCCAGGTGTGACCCAAAAAACAAAAAAAGAAAAGTTTAATGCAGCTAATTTTCTAAAAATGTAAGGCTTAATTTGGAAACAATCAAAGATTAGGAAGACGTACTGGAACTTAAGATTAAAGGATTGCTAAAGAGACTAATTTCATTACCAGAGTCATCATATATGCCCCCTAAGTTTAAGGGGACTCATTCATACAGGTCCATAGAGGGTGGATGGATTAATATCTCTGCAAACAAGAAGGTTTTGTATTTTGCTTTGGGTTTTTTGTGGTGTCAGGCATTAAACCCAGGGCCTCACACATATGAAGCAGGTGCTCTACAGCTGAGCAACATCCATGGCCCTAAGTTCTGAGACAGTACCAGGCACATGTTTCTCTGATATTTTGGGAAAGGGAGCATGTTAAATGAATTTTATTATTTTCTATGTTATTTTTTGTATGTTAAATGAAAAGGAAACTAAAATCATGTTTGTTCAAAATTGTTAGGACACCGCTTCACGCGGCCGCGTTTACTGATCATGTAGAGTGCTTGCAGCTTCTTCTGAGACACAATGCTCAAGTGAATGCAGCTGACAATTCAGGGAAAACAGCACTGATGATGGCTGCTGAGAACGGACAGGCCGGCGCTGTAGGTATGTGCCTGACAGGGGCCCTCACATTTGTGTCTATTCCAAAACAAAGAAATAGCTCTCTTCTTGGTTTCATATGTTAAAAAGAAATCAGCTCTCTTCTTGGTTTCATATGTTTAAAAAAAAAAAGAAGAAAGGCCAGCATTTTATTTTAGCTGCCTGATTCTGCTTGCTAATTGTCTTCATTTCCAGTTAGTGGTTTATTGGGGCAATTTGTCAAAGTGAGCCAACCTTCCCACAGTAAAACCTCCTAACATTTAGAAACCAAACATAGCTACAAAGTCACTTTGCCTGGAAATGTGAAACTGTCAAGATAATTACAATTAATGCCTCTGTATAGAACTTGGATTTGGATAGAACAGATACACCAATAAATAGGTCAATAAATTCTCCTCTTTTCTTTAAAACCGTTAAATATGATTATAATGAGCTAATTTAAACATGCTATTTTTTGGATCATAAAAACTTCTTCAGAATGTGTCTAATTAGTGTCTAATAATTCTCTTTTATTTTTTCCTATAGATATTTTGGTAAATTTTGCCCAGGCTGATCTGACTATAAAGGACAAGGACCTGAACACACCCTTACATTTGGCCAGTAGTAAAGTATGTAAATGAACTTAGAAACTCTGTTACTTAGTCTAGCAATAGTAATAATAATAATAATAATAATAATAATAATGATGATGATGTCAGATAAATTTTATCTTTACCATGGTTCTTAATTAAGATGTTTTTATTTTCCCAGGATTTTGTCAACTATAAGTGGAGTGAAAGGGGCCAGTGGGGAAGCAAAGGGTTAATGACATTTGCCACTTGCTTTTGATGCCACCTGTCTTGATATGGTTCCTGTGTCTCTCCATGGCTGACATACCACATTTTGGCTTGTTTGTCAGTTCACACTCTGATGTGTGTCTGGTTGATGGTTATGACCCTCACACACACTTTGGTTATGGTGTTGTACACTTTGGTCAGTGCTTACAGGGTTAGGGAGGGTAATACACTTTTGATTATGGTACTTGCATATCCTTGGTTACTGTGTCCTAGAAATTGCACACTTTGTTGTGGTGCCCAGCAGTGCTTCACTGAGATCACATCCCGCTTGAGGAGAAATGCTGAGATTAAACCCATGGCTCCACATGAGCCAAATTCCTGGACCCTCCAAAATTTGGGTTTCAATATAGGTTTGGACCTTAGTCACATGACTTTAAAAATATAAGTAGTTCTGAGGCTGGAGTTGGGTTGGAGCGATAGCACAGCGGGTAGGGCGTTTGCCTTGCACACAGCCAACATGGCTGACCCGAGTTCGATTCCTCCGCCCCTCTCGGAGAGCCCGGCAAGCTACCGAGAGTATCTCGCCTGCCCGGCAGAGCCTGGCAAGCTACCCGTGATGTATTCGATATGCCAAACACAGTAACAACAAAGTCTCACGATGGAGACGTTACTGGGCCCGCTCGAGCAAATCAATGAACAACGGGAGGACAGTGACAGTGACAGTGAGGCTGGAGTGATAGGATAGCGGGTAAGATGCTTACCTTGCACATGAATGATCTGGGTTTGATTCCCATTACCCCACATCATCCCCTGAGCCAGCCAGGGATGATCCCTGAATGCAGACCCAGGAATAAGCTCTAAGCACCACTGGGTATGGCCCAAAAACCCAAAAATAAAATATAAGTAATTTTAGTTTCAATTTTTTTCCATTTGAAAACATTGTAATCATATAGCCAGTAGTACTTCTATAAGACAAATTAATGTATTTATTTGCATTTATGTCCTTTCTTTTTTTCTGGTGAACAAATAGGTCAGTACAAAAAAAGTATTTGAGTTTATTCTTCTTTAAGTAGGATTGTATTAATGTTACGATGCAAAGTTCCTGCTCTCTTAAAAGAAAAATTATAAAGATGTATATTATTTTCTGTACTGCTTCATAACCACCTTTTCATTACTGCATCATATATAATGAATATCTTTCTTTCAAACAGTATATCTGATAGTAATTGGAGAATATGTGGTATCCCACCTTAGGAATAGGCCATCCTTTATTTACCTATCCCTTATTGTTAGATATTTGCTTATTTTCAAATATATTCTAATATAAAGAATGGCTTATTGTTTATTTTTAAGGAATTCTTACCCATACTTTTAAAATAAATTCTTGAGTCTAAGACAGTGAGCCTCTTCAAGATCAAATCATAAAGCCATAATGTCCTATTTACACTGTGTCAGTAGTACATCAAAATGAAAATTTCCATGAACATTCCTAAAATGATGTTTAAGATGTTCCCTATACACCATAACAGTTTGATGCTAGTTGACACCAGTGATTGTGATTTATTTTAATATTGCTATAATGTTAAAGGTGTATTTTATACCAGTTATAATAGAAGTGTTATTTAATTTGCATCTTCTCACTTTATGCTTTGGGCAGTCCATGCAAATTACAAAAATAGTGTTTCCTGGCATGCATTTCAAGGGAGTTTGTTAATGAATACAGGAAGTCATGGATTTTAGACTTTATAGTGAAAATTAATCACCTAAGGAATCTGTTTACAATTCAGATTCTGGTTTAGCAGATCTGGAGTGCAGCCTGGAGTTCAACATTTCTAAGACCTAAGTAATGGTGCAAGTCTGGTGTATATTTAGAGCAGCAAGAACTTAGAAAATATGACCTTATCAGGACAACATGGGAAATAGTGAAAGACTCTGATTCATCAGTTGATTTTTAAAATTATCAACCATTTCTTGTCATAAGACACAGAAATATCATCCTCTGATTGAGGAAGAATAAACTTTTCTGGCGGTAAAATTTTATGTATGAATCTCTATCATCAACCATACTGTAAACCACAGTGCAAAAGAAATATACTGTCACTGTCACTGTCACTGTCCTCCCATTGTTCATCGATTTGCTCGAGCGAGCCCGGTAACTCCATTATGACACTTGTTTGGCATATCGAATATGTCACAGGTAGCTTGCCAGGCTTTGCCATGCTGGCGAGATACTCTCGATAGCTTACTGGGCTCTCCAGAGGGGTGGAGGAATCAAACTCCGGTAGGCCATGTTGGCCCCTTGCAAGGCAAACGCCCTACCCACTGTGCTATCGCTCCAGCCGAGAAATATACATACACACACATATGTACACATTTATATACATATATATTTTTATATACATATATACATTTATATACACATAAAGTACCTCTCGCAGAGGAAGACTGGTAGGTAGGTGGTAAATGGGGATCGGGGACATTGGTGGAGGGAAGTAGATGCTTGTGAAGGGATTGGTATCTATTGTATGCCTGAAACCCAATCATAAATGACTTTTTAAATTCACAGTGACTAAATAAATTTTTTAAAAATAAATTTTTTAAAATGAGTTTTCTGGAGATATTCTAATAAGGCAGATGATGGTTTATACAAATGATCAATTAATGGACATTCCTAAGTTAGAAAGATCATTGAACTGGTAATGAAAGCTTAGGAAGGAATTGGTAAGGATTTGAAGAGTATCCCTAATTCCATTCTCTGCTTTCCAACTGATCTGGCTGGTCTAGTAACTTCTTCTATTCTCTGGACATTAATTCTAAAAGTTATCTTTGAAATAGTAAAATTTTATATCGGTCTTACATTAACCAAGTCTTAATCCACCTTACTCTGAATCTTAGTGTGTGTAGGATCCTTTAACTATTTGCTTTTCAAAAGGTAAATGTGTTTCTTTGAAAATAGCTTTATGAAGTGTTTTTTAGATGGAGAGCATCCATTTTAAATTTAAAAAGCACATCGAAGTGATTTTATCCTAGAAATTTTCTGTGTCTGTCTTTTGTTTCTTATCTATTTTTCTTTATTAGGGTCATGAAAAATGTGCCTTGTTAATACTTGACAAGATACAAGATGAGAGCCTTATTAATGCAAAAAATAATGCACTTCAGACGTAAGTGACTTTTAAAGTTAACTGGAATAAAGATTCTAAGTGATTTATTCTACAGATATGAAGAGCTTGCTTTGTGTTGGGCTAGCAGAGGGAAACACAGCAGTGAAAGACCCAACCAGGCTTCTCTTATAATCACATGCCTACAAAGGCAGGCTAGGCCTTTTTCAGTTAGACTCATTATTTTGATATTCCTTTTAGTATTTTACAGGGTGTGTATTTTCTTTGTAGATTATATTTGAATATTATCAATTTCATTTGGTTATTAGAAAATGAATCTCTATATCAAAATATTAGTGTTTTGTTTTCTACTGGAAAATGACTTTAATAAGTCAGGTTCCCAGAATGCTGTTTGTTTTAATTACATTGTGATATAAGCCAGTGTATATCACAAGGATGAAAGAGCTAAAAGCTGCACCATTTTCCAGTTTAGAAAATTACTTAGGTACTTGTTTTGTGAGTAAAGGAATAGTAAGATATTTTCTTTCTTGGTGATCACTTGCATTATATATAGCAGGATATGTGGAGTTTGATGTTATTCTTTAGTGTTCTAAAGTCAATAAATATGTAATTATATCATAGAAAGTTTGTTTGTATATGGGTGATGTTAATACCAATCATATTGATGAACTGTGTGTAAAAGGGATTTATTCCAGAGTTGGAAGAGAAATCCAAAGGATAAAGAGCCTTCTTAAAAACATACCAAAACTTGAGTTCTGCCTCTGGTTTTCTGTTTCTTGTCATTGAGGTTGTTTCAGATGAAAAAGATTTGTAGTAGCTTCAGAAAAATCTGGGCCAACTTGGAAGGACAGTTGAGTATTAATACATAGAAAAACTCTACTTTTTTTTTAAAGCCCCTTTAAGTTAAAAATTCCACGTAAAATTTATCAATTCTGCTTAAGTACTTCTTCCTTTTATCAGTATAAGCAAAGCACAGATTATGGCAATTTATTTTAGTAGAAACAACCAATTAGCACCTTCAATCGCCATCCAACAGGGTCGGTTGCAGAGAATGAGACAAACAGCCATGCAAGGAGACAAACAAACATACAAAGACTGTCCAAGTCTTGGGGTTGCCTGGGTAGCCTTGAGATCACAGGCTGGCCATTATTCAATACAATATTGCTTCCCCAGCCCTGCCTTCACAAACACATGAGCCATTGTTTAAGTTGACAGAGACATTAAGAATACTTAGTAAGCACAACAAAATTCAGTGGGTGCATGAAGAGCAAAGGCTGGAATATTTCACATAGCCAATCAAGCAGGCACCCTTAAAATATAAAGTCATAAGTTTCTTATTCTGTTTTTCCCTCTTTTCCCTTTTGCATCTAAAAAAAAAAAACCCTAAACTATTTTACTCTGTATTTTCCTGGGCACACTTTCATAGTCCCATTATCTATTCTTTTCTTTCTTGGGTGAATGTTTACTGCCCCTTTTTATGCTGAGAGACCTGAATTGTTTTTCCCAGGACTATTCTGACCTTGAGTTTTTTTGTTAGGATGACAGCTTCCCACAACAGATGACATGTTTTCACACCAAGGATATATCCCAGTTGATGCTCAGTGCTTTTTTTTTTTTCAGACCCCTTCACATTGCTGCACGCAATGGCTTGAAGGCTGTAGTTGAGGAGTTGCTGGCCAAAGGAGCCTGTGTACTAGCTGTTGATGAAAATGGTAAGTGGGGAAAAAATGAATAACTTCAGCATATTCTTGCTGAAGACAAAAGAAAATGAGAAAAGATAGGGAGTAGTATAAAAGGTAGTAAGGATATTCTTCCCCATAGAAGTTCCATGTGTGTGAGACCTCAAGCAAGGATATTTTGTCCTGTCTGTCTTTGTAAAACACCTGGTCTCTCTGTATCCACCAGTGCCTTCCATACGCATGTAATGTCAGCCGCTGGTCCCTAACTCCTCAGCGCGTGTGTTCAAATATTTTGGACACAGAAAGCTTTCAGCTTGCTATCCAAAATTCTGACAGCATTCGCTGAAGTGTTAGGGATTATCCATGTCATTAGTGCATGCTAAAGGTCTCAAATAAAAACCTTAGGTCTTTATATTTCATTTCATTCTGAGATCAAACTTATTCCTGTCTCTTAAAAAGAAGATGTCAGAACTCATATTCCCTGTATGAATATTTGGGGAATACGAGTAAAAATTTTAATTAATATCTGTCTACTCTTGAAAACTTCTCCTAATCTATAATGTTCCTTTTCTAAATGAATTAATTCTTAACTGAAGCTTTCTGCTCTGCTTCCTAAGAATTTTCGAAAGCTAATTTTGAAAGCTAATTAATACTAACTACTAGAAGGTATTGAACTCCCATGTAAAGTATGCTGCCTCTTAAGCTTGGGGAGCAAGAGGGAACTTCTGGATATTTATGAATTTAATAAATCTTAAAATATGGCATTATTTATGTCATTTAAACAAAGTATTATAAAATGTTTTAACATAATTCAATTAACTGCTTATTACAGGTATTGGAATTAGCAGCTCATGCCTATTTCTCAGAAGTAAGCAGCCATATGACATCATTAGCTAACTCCTATTAGTTTTTGTTTTGCAGTTCCATTTATCCTAGCATGTACCCTGCTCCATCCCCAACCTGATTCATCTAGGAGGCCCAGAAGGCTCTCTCTGATTCCATCTTCTTGGTTTACTCATTTCACCATCCCTTACCCTCTTATCACCCTGAAATACACAAGCATCAATACGCATAATAAGTCCACAGGTTTTTTCAAAAATGACCCAAGAAATTAGGATAGTTCAGTTTTACCTCCTTTTAGTCACATTTGAGGTTATTTTAGGAGCGAAGCGTGCTGGGTCAGTAGAACTAGGGCCCGTCTCAGAGCTTAGCTACATCTAGAGGCTTGGGGCTCTCTTGTGCAGAGCTCTGATGTAATGACATTTGGAGAATAGAAGGTGAGAAAACCTGTATATTAATGTTTGATATCATGCCAGAGAGGAATAGTACATTGGGGAGGGCTGAGGCTCGGAGACAGAAGTCAGTTCAACAGAACATCCCATTTTCTCAAACTAGCACTGTAGCACTGTCCTCCCGATGTTCATCGATTTGTTTGAGCGGGCCCAATAACATCTCCATTGTGAGACTTGTTACTGTGTTTGGCATATCGAATACATCATGGGTAGCTTGCCAGGCTTTGCCATGCAGGCTAGATACTCTCGGTAACTTGTCGGGCTCTCCAAGAGGGGCGGAGGAATCAAACTCAGGTCGGCCAGGTTGACCCTGTGCAAGGCAAACACCCTACCCGCTGGGCTGTCGCTCCAGCCCTTTCTCAAGCTAGTTCCTCTGAATAAATGAATGAGTGGTGTAGGAATTTAATCCAGCAGAATGGGCAGGAAGACCCTTTCAGACCAGTTGAATCAATGTTAGAGAAGGGCGCTAAACAAACCAGAGAATTTCTCTGTCCCCCCACAGCACCTGAACTGATTATTCCTTGAACTGATTTCTTCTTTTAATTTGGAACACCAAGTCTGAGGCAGAGAATGAGATGACCTTTAGGGCAAGTAGCAATATTCCCATATCTGTCACATTTAGAACTTAGGTTGGCAGTAGTGCTATTTTAAAAACCTGTTAAATTTCCCTTATATGTTTAATTTTTAATCACATCCAGTGCTTTTCTGTGTGTGATCTCTTCAAATAATTCCATTTCACTAGAACCAGTTCATTGGCGCATATTTCACAGAAAAATAAACAGAAAGTGGAAAAATGGCATTACTCACCTTCACAGACATCCGGTTTCCAATATCTTTTCTAACTGAACACACAATTACCTACCATTGAAAGCCGTTGTTCTCAGAATGAGTATGGCTGGTCCAAGCCTGAGGGGCCTATGCTTCCACTGGAAACATCACCTGGTTGTCCTGTTGTTTGTGTGGAACTGTGTCCCACCCCTTCCCCCTCATGTGTCTGTTCACGAGTTAAAAATTAGAATTCTGCCCAACCAGGTATGATTGAGTGTTTGTTGTTGTCCTGTGAGCTGCAGAATGAGGAGGCCCAAAAACACCCCCCCAAAAAAACCCTCCATAAAATGTCTCCCCTTCCCTGTCTCCCCTAGCCTCACTCCTGGCATGACTTGTGGGCAGTAACTCCTCCTTTGCCTGGCATGATTTCTAACTCAACATACATCTCTGTGTGTGGGGTCAAAGGAGATGTATTGTCAGATGCTCATGCTGCCACACTGGACTCCTGGACTAACCACTGCCTTGTCTGCATTTACGCCCAGGTCATACCCCGGCCCTGGCTTGTGCTCCTAACAAAGACGTGGCTGACTGCCTGGCCCTCATTTTGGCTACCATGATGCCTTTTTCTCCTTCCAATACAATGACGGCTGTCAACTTCGTTTGTTTTAAAAAAGATCATTTGAGCAGGACGACCCTCTCCAATCTGGGTAGCATGGTTAGTTTGTGCAGTAACAACATAGGCTCAGAGGATGGGTACAATGAAAATGATTCTGATTCAGAAACTTTTTGACTTTGAACTCTAGAAGCTTTTCCTTGATTACTCACATTGGAGGAAGGGATAGAAGCTGAACTCCAGGTTTATATTGTGTTCAAGTATTATGGTGGGCCCCACCTTCCAGAAGCCAGTAGAGATGGATTTCATCAAACTGAGGGAGGGCAGCTTGGCTGTTCTGGCAAAGCATTCACACAGATGGGCCCTGATCTTGATTTGTTTCATGTTTCCATAGATCTAAGATACTTGGAAAAATCTACCTCTCATTTTAAGTAAGGGTTTTTTTTTTTAATGCATTTAGTTCTTTTTCTTTGGGGATAATGCAACTGAGAGGGAAGCGTTCTTTATAAAGACATTTTTTGTCATTTGCTCACTCTGCAGTGAGTTCTCAGAAGATATATCAATGGGACATTCATGTCTCCAGGAGAGGAGGGAAGAGGTGGGTAGGACATACCTCAAACCTCTTCTCATTCTGATGTTTACTTCCTCAATAGAAGCCAAAGTAAAAGTGTTCATCTTCAGAAATAATGCCTGTAATAATCTTTTTAAGGGAGTCTAATTATTCATATCCTCTCTGTAGTAAGCACTTAAATATCCAGAACTTCTTTCTGAGGATTTTTTATTCAGATTGCCAGATAAATAGAAGAGTTCATTGAAAATTGAAAGTGGGAGTTACTTTTTTTTTTCATTAAACACAAACATGGCACCCAGTACTCTCCAAAATAAACCTGAAACTAATTTTTACCTGAGAGATTGAACCCAAATCTATCAAATGGCATTTCAAGTGAAAATTACAAAGCATCAGAACTTTGGGACATATGCACATTTAGTATGTAACTATCCCTTATTAATCTGTCCTTAATTCAGAATACTTTTTAAAAACATCAGAGCTATCAACATCCTTCAGCAATAGTAAATGTTCAATGAGCTTCTCAGTCAAGTTCATGCCTAGTGAGTGACTGCAAAAGGGAACAAAGAAAGTGAAAGCAGGATGTAAAAATAGGTGATATGGAAATGAAAGCCAATTGCTACTTGCTCATTGATGAAATCAACATAGTGAATACTGTGTCTACTCCCTCTGCCAAAGCTTCTAGGTCAAATGGACCCCGTTCTGCATCTGGAATAGCTGTACAAAAAGAAGAATGAGACTCTAAAAGTTATGCACATGCTCATACAAGTATACATGTGCATATCTATATATATATGTGTCTGTAGTTCATCAACCAGCTATACATGAGGACCAAAATGCTTCAGTATAAAATGGAAGATTTAAATTGTTTTCCTTCAAAATGGAAGTGAGAACTGAAGTACTTTTTTATGGAGTTAAATGTAACTTTTATGTGTGACAGTCTTTGTTGTATTTCTTATTACTCAGATTTCCAGTTGATGGCTTAACATTTGTAATTGTAACTGGCTTTTCTTTTTCTTTAATTTTTTGCCAAATTGCAGAAAATGTTCATAAAATTCTGATGTAAATGGTTTATATTTATTTGGAAAGAAATAATTGCCAAGGAAACATCCATTGGTTGTTCTCTGTTTTAACTGCTATGTCCCTTACTTGGAGTAACAAAAAAGCAGAATACACAGGACATTTCCTTGGCTAACCAACAGTCCTGAGGCCCCAGCATTTCCAATGCTCAGGTTTCCAGCAAAACTTCAGGTTCTTCCAGGAGTCAGTTGGAAAGGGGGTGAGCTTCCATCACTCAACTTCAGTTTGTAGCCTGTGTAGAGCTTAGAAGATGCAATTTGATGCTCTTTTGCAAAAATGAAAACTGTAGGGTATAGATAATCATATGCACCAAGGTGACCCTAAGGAAAATACAGAAATCATGCTAATTACATTGTAAATCTCACATGATCCCAATAAATTTAATGAGGAATTGATAGTGTGTGGACACCTGTGTCAAGAGGAGAAATGAAAATTACCAGCACAAGTTTACTTGAAGAGAGAGGAAAAAAGGCTGTAGTACTTGGGTAATGTTCCATGACATTTTCTAGTAAGCTCCATTTTCACCCTCAAAATTTCTATATTATAGTGTCTGTGAAATACTTTTTAAAAACAGTGTTCTATTTGGATCAAATAGAAAATACTGTATCAGATTTTTTCATGACTATAAAATACTTTAAACTTTCTTCTTTTAAATATCCTGGATTAGATTAAAGCTCATGTTATGTTCTACACAAATGAGAACAATTCAAAAGACCATAATAATTGGCATGAATTTCATTGAAAATTAATTGTCCTGGAAGATCTTCTCTCCACCAAAACTGCTTTTTAAAATTCTCAATGTTGTATTCCTCCCTCCTCCTCTATTCTTTTTGTTTATAAATATTTTTGAGTAGATGGTTTGCTATTAAGCAATAATGATTTTACAAAAACACTGAAAACCGAGAGTTCTAATACTGAAGAAGAACTAGAAATTTGTGTCTCTTTCAGGACATGAACGGAAGTCTTGCCTATTTAGCAGGTAAATCATGACATGAAATGCCTACTTTAATGATGTAGCAGCATTACCATTTTTTCCCTACAGTGTCACAGCAAGAAAGCAGTGACAGCCATGGGACTTTACCTCCATGGAGCTCTGTTCTAACTCCCCCAAGTCTCTTATTAACTGAAAGAAGGAGGGCAAAGGAACAAAGTGAAAATCATGTTCATGAATTAATCTCAGACTCTCTCTTCCTCTCCTTCTTTGTCTCTTTCTCCCACCGTCCTTCCTCCCAATCCTTCCATTTATCCTTCCCACCAAGACCAAGGAATTCTGTGGGGTGTTTTTTATGTGCATCTCTTTAAATTAGACTTGTGTGTAACTGTCCAAGAAAAAAAATACAGAAAATATGTTTTTAGTGCTTTTACCTAACTGTATTTTTAAAACTATTTTCACCACAACCAGAGCATCATGCTACATTGCACTTACATATTCACCAGTGTCTGCCTATCCTTGGTAAATAAATGTTACTAACTCCAAATTGCCTAAAATCTGCTTTGATTCTACAGTAAATTGCTCAGGGGATTTCTCTTTGTCACTACTAAAAGGGCACCATTGTATGTTTTGGTACTTTAGGCAGTAAACAGCTGCTTAATTCATTATTTTCTTATTAATTAGAACAAGAACATCAAATGGATTTGCTGCACTAGCTATTTGTACTGTTGAGTAACATGGTTCATTTATCTGTTGCAATGGTTGAAGAACTCATCATCCCTTTCTTAGTCTTGTAATATGAAGTTAGAGTGCCTTTTTATATTTGTATATTCTGGAAATGTTCTGTGAAATGTTTTGTATTTTTTTCATTTGAGTGTTATCAGAGCAATATAAGACCAGTGAGTTTCATTTCAACCTTTTCTTAAATGTATGCCTTTTTTTCCTATTTCCCCTTTTACCTGTTTTGATATGAAAATGCCGAAGTTTCCTCTAGGAATTATGTTTGATTTTGCAGTGCTAAAATGCTTTCTTCTTACAAAACTGTAAACCATAGGTCAGTGTTATAGGGGAAAGGCGTTTTAAATAGTGACAATCTGAGTGTGTGTATAAAATGTAATACTATGCGTTTTTTATGCAGTGATCTAAAAAATCTAAATATCTTTTGTTTGTAGTTTTGTCTACATATTTTATGCTTTAGCATGTGCAATATATATTTGCAAAGCACGGTGATACAAATCTGGTGCCAGTGTTATATTTTGCATAACATATTTGTAACAGCATAAAATATTGTTTAATGACTTCAGTGGGATTTTGTCTGTAATGTTTTCTTATGTAAATTGAGTTGAATGATTCTGGTAAATGTCACGACTGTAAAAAAAAAAAGAGGAAAATGACTTTTTGTTCCGTGAATGACTTTGAACCAATCTGAATCTTCTCAAGCACAGTTTAATACTCTTCAACTACTGAATGCTAAACTGTAATGAAGTATTTCACTGTAATATAATATGGAAATGCATTCAGATGGTTATTTTTACAAATAAAAACGGTACAAATATTGTTTCAGTGGGTGGTGTCTTTAATTTTTCAGTTGTGCTAATATTTTCTCTCAGTCTGCGGGGCATCTTTTTATTGTAATCATCATTTCTCACAGCCAACACTGTATTCAATGGTGAAAAACCTTACCTCTAAAATTAAGCACAAGACAAGGTTGTCTACTCACACCACTACTATTCATATAGTATTGGAAGTCTTTGCTACAGTAATTAGGCAAGAAGAAGATATTAAGGGGATCCAGATTGAAAAAGAAGTTGAACTATCACTATTTGCAGATGATATGGTACTATGCTTACAAGACCCTAAGGACTCTACAAAGAAGCTCCTAGAAACAACAAACTTCAGCAAAGGGGCAGGCTACAAAATACACATGCGGAATTCCAGGGCATTTCTATATATAAACAATGAATTAGAGGAGAGAAAAAAATTATTTACTTCCAAATACCATCATTACTAAAAAAATTACCTGGGAGATATACAAAATACTGGTTAAACTCCACAAGAAGAAAACATCCAACCCCATCCAAAAATGGGGCAATGAAATGAACAGAAACTTTCTCAAAGAAGAAATCCGAATGGCAAAAAAGCACATGAGAAAATGCTCTACATCATTAATCATCAGGGAGATGCAGATCAAAACCACAATGAGATACCATCTCTCACCTCAGAGACTGGCCCACATTCAAAAGAACAAAAGCAACCGATGCTGGCGTGGATGTGGCGAGAAAGGGACACTCCTTCACTGTTGGTGGGAATGTCCACTGGTTCAGCCCTTCTGGAAAACAGTATGGACGATTCTCAAAAAATTAGAAATTGAGCTCCCATTTGACCCAGCAATACCACTCCTGGGACTATATCCCAGAGAGGCAAAAATGTATAGTCGAAGTGACATCTGCACTTGTTTGTTCATTGCAGCACTCTTTACAATAGCCAGAAACTGGAAGAAACCTGAATGCCCAAGAACAGATGACTGGTTAAAGAAACTTTGGTACATCTACACAATCGAGTACTATGTAGCTGTTAGAAAAGATGAAGTCATGAAATTTACATACAAGTGGTACAATATGGAAAGTATCATGCTAAGCGAAATGAGTCAGAAAGAGAGGGATAGACATAGAAAGATTGCATTCACCTGGGGGATATAAAGTAACAAAGTATGAGATTAATACCCAAGAATAGCTGAGATCAGCACCAGGACGATTACTCCATAACTTAGAGACCAGCCGGGTATCCTAGAGGAAAGGGCAGTTCAGATAGAGAAGGGAGCACCAAATAAAGGATGTTTGGAGGATCCTCCCAGGAGGGGAGATGCATGTCGAAAGTAGATTATGGACTGAACATGTTTGCCACTCAATGCCTCTTTTGCAGACCACAACACCCAAAAGGAGAGAGAGAACACAGGGGATTGCCCTGCCACAGAGACAGGGGGGATGGGGGGATGGGGGTGGGAGGGATATTATCCATGGTGGTGGAAAATGGGCACTGGTGGAGGGATGGGTATCTGATCATTGTATAATTAAAACCAAAGCACAAAAAATTGTAAATCTACAACTGTAAAAAAAAATAAAATAAAATAAAGGGAAAAAAAGAAAAAAAATTACCTGGGAATGAGCATAACAAAAGAGTAAAAAAAATACAAAGAAAGTTGTAATTCACTCCTAAAATGAAAGAAGACACAAGGAAATGGAAGCATCTCCCCTGTTTATGGATTGGAAGGATTGGGAGGGTTAATATTGTGAAAGAGAGATTCCTACCCAAAGCACTATACAAATTCAATGTGTTCCCTGAAAAAGAAATACTATGACATTTCAGACATTGACAAATGCTATAAAATATGCATGGAGCAATAAACACATAAACACACAGACACACACACACACACAGAGCACATGTACGCTCACTCACACACCACTCTCATCTCCAGTAGCCAAAGCAATTCTAGAAAAAAATAAAATGGAAGCCTTTTCTTTCCCCAACTTTTAATTATACTGTAAAGATATAGTAACCAAGACAGTGTGGTACCGTAATAGTCTCAGAATATCAGGTTACTCAGATCAGTGCAGTAAAATTGAGAACCCAAAACAGACCTTCAGGTATATAGGCACTTATATTGAACCAAGGAGCTAGGAGTATGAAATAGAACAAGGAATGCCTCTTCAACAAATGGTGTTGGGAAAACTGCTTAGCAATATGTTAAAGAAGAACTCAGACTCATATCTCGCATCTTTCATAATAGTTCAAAATGGAGTAAAGACCTTGATATTGGGCTGGAATTCATAAATTTTGTTGAGGGACACATTCAGAATCCTTCAAGAAATTGAATCTAGAAACAGGTTTATGACAGTGACACTGACCAAGCAAAAAAGAAGCAAAAATAAATGAAACTATATCAGATTAAGAAGCTCCTGCATTGCCAAAAAAATTTAGTTATAAAGACACTAAATGTCGAATTACATAATTTACTCAAATTTGTGTAGTTTAGAGATATGTGTACATAAGTTGTGCCTGTAAATGTTCTATTTCCTAATGCCATATAATGTTTCGTATGCTGTTTTTCCTTTAGTGTTTTGGGTTGGATTTGGCAGTTTTCAGGGCTTATTCATGGCTCTGTGCTCAGGAATCACTCCTGGCTGGACTTGGACCATATGAAGCTCCAGGGATTGAACCCAGATCTGCTATGTGCCAGGCAAGTTCCCTACTCAATAAATTATCTCTCCCATTTTTCCTTTTATGCAAGAGTGCTCAAAGAGGTTTTACTATCTTCTCTGTGCTGTCCAGTCTTGAAGACTCTAAAGAATGAATCATGCAACAGATGAGTGCTTCCTATAGTTTACCGCAAAGTAGGTATATTAGTTACCTAATGCTCCGTAGCAAAGAATTATGAACACAGTGACTTCAGAATACAAGTGTTTGTTGTCTCACAATTTCTGAGTCAGGAGTTTGTGCAAGGTTTAAGCTGCCACAGGATCCTCATGGGCTGTAATCATTCATAAGCCAGGAAAGACCCATTTCTAAATCCACTGATAGAGTTGTTGGCAAAATTCATCAGGGGTCATAAAGAACTGAAAGCTTCGGTTCATAAATAGCTGCACTCAGTTCTTTGCCAAATGGGCCTTTTGATGGGGCAGTTCATAACATCAGCTTGCCTCATGAAAGCAAGCAAGCCAAGAAAAACCAGAGAGAGAAGAGCCAGAGTCAGTTTGTTCATTGAATCTCAAACTGACAGTCCATCAATTCCCCCCTTATTCTTTTTTATTAGAAACAAGTTGCTCTACACATCCTATATACCAGAGAAGGAAGCCACCCTGGGAGCCATTTTGGAAACTACTCTCCATACTAGGTCCATCATCGTGTCTTGGACAGTGTGACGTCATGCCAGGGAAACTTCTTTCCAATTGCTGCTAAGGAAATTCTTTATTCAACTCTCTAAATACCATCAAGAGGAATATAGAAATATCCTAATTTCACTTGTGCTCTCATAAGCAGAAAGGGGATAATCACCTGCACTTCCACCAATCTGTTGATGTGGCATTTTGTCTCCAAGCTGCCTGTCAAAGTATCCCTCTTTCTAATTCTATCAGTAGCATTAGTTCCCCATACATCTGTCCTTCACTTAACACAGTGTTCCAGAATTAGCTTGCAAAGCACAAAGGCATTAAGCTAAAAGGCTATTAGCATAACACAAAAATATTGTGGGTAAAAGTGCTGTGTGAAGTGTCTAGCTAATTTCATACTGAAGGTACATTTGCTGTAAAGTATAAAGCAGCAAAGATAATAACTGTGCCATTCACTAATTTGGAAGCACTCCAGGGGGTGATTGCAAATGCTTAGTCTTTTGTGGCTGGCACAATGAGTGGAGAGTAGGAAGGGTTGTTAGTAGCAGTTACTAAACTAGAATTTACGGGGCTACGAAGTCAAATATCCTTTCCAGCCCAGAATGCAAGTACCCTACCTTCATTTTCCCCACACTTCACTTTTACTTCATTTTCTTTCCTCTTGTTTTTGATTCATTTAAGAATTTCTTACAAAGCTAGCCATATTAAAAAATCTATTTTACAAGGACTGTCATTAATACTCTAATATAAATCCTCTCATAAAGAGAACTTAATGCCTTAAGAAACAAAACCCCCAAGGCCTAAGAGATAGTTCAAAGGGCTGAAGCACATGCTTTGCATGCAATAGATCTGATTTTGATCCTGGCACTGCATGGTTCTGCAGTTACCACCAAGAGCGACCCTCTGAGCACCAAGCCAGAAGCAGTCCCTGCACAGAACTGCTTGACATGTGCAGATAGGAACAGAAATGGGGCCAACGTGGCTGAGACTTGTGAAAGAAAGGAGGGTAATATGAGAGAAGATGAAGAGTCATCTGAGACAAGATTTTACAAAATGTTGTAAAATTTTGTGAACCAGGAAAAGAAGTTTCTATTTTATTCTGACTGTGATCTCCCTCTCTCCCAAAATTTCCACGAGGGAATTTAAGGAGAAAACTAACTGTAGTTCATTTGATGTTGAAAATTACCACTCTGCTGGAACACTGGTGGAAGGAAGTTGGTACTAGTGGTGGGATCAGTGATGGTGATGAAACATTGTATGTCTAAAATCCAACTCTGAATAGCTTTATAAATCACAGTGCTTTAATAAAATTTAGGGGGGAAATATCACTCTTGCCACTATGGTGAAGCAAAACAGGAATGCTGGTGACTAGTTAAGTCACTACAAAATAGTCATGATGAATCAACATAGTGGCTTGGAATACTATGGTAATAAATGGAGAAAAAAAATTGGACTTTTGGGTTGCCCTTGAATATAGGGTTGACTGAACTCTTGGTTGGCCAGGGCCAAGTAAAATGGATGTCTAGAGTTTAGGGACGAGACTGAAATGGGTGTTATATGAAATAATAGATGACCAGAGGATATTAGTTTTAGAATATAATTTATTATAATAAATTAGCTTTATATTAAGTTATAATTTATTATAATTTGTCATTTTTTAAAAGCCTTG